TGAGAGGTGTTTTGGTCCAGTTGCATGCTATTAAAGGGGATTATGCAGCCTCGGGGCCTCTTTTGTGTTTCCTGGTCCGTGACTTAACCAGTGTTACCCTGCTACATTCTCCCACAATGACATCACAGGCCCATTGCAATGCGGTCATCTGATGCGAGCTGGAACCTCTAAAACTGTGAACCAAAATAACCTTTTGTCTTTGTAAATTAATTATCTCCAGTGTAGCAATACAGTGGCAGCTCATGTAATTAATAATATATCAGTTTCTGCCATTATGACAAAATATGTGAGAGAATCAACTTAAAGAAAAGTTTTGCTCAAAGGGAAGGAACACCTGGAATGAAGGAAAGGAGGAAAAGAAAGAGAGAAGGAAGGGAAAATATACATGGAAAGATAGCTGGGATAATTGTCCTACTGATGTGTATTAGTTTATTGAAAGGAACAGTTAATGCTTAAGTTTTTTGACCAATTTTGCATGCTTATAACTGGTAATCTGAACAACTAATTTGAGGACAACAATATGCAATTCACAACAACCACTGGTGACTCCCCACCATCTTGTTTAGTGAAGCTCTGTATTATTTCTAATGTTTATTATTATTATTTTTTATTCTCTTTACTGGCTTGATCAGTCTTGCATTCTTACATCTGGTAGTCTGAGTAACTTCGCTGAAGATAACAATATGTAATATACCAACTACTGTTAATTCCTATCATCTTGTTTTGAAACCCTGTATCATTTTTATTGTTTTTGTGGTGTTTCATTTTGGTCTATGTTGTTGGTATTTTGTTATTTTTTTATTCTCTTTAAAATTAAAAAAAAATTTAAAAAAGCAAAGTTTGTTTGGGTTCATAGTTGCAGTTCATGGTCAGTTGGCTTTGGTTTGAACAGGGACAGAGAACATGGGGGAAGAGCGGGTATCGTACAGCAAAGCTGCTCTCCTCCCAGTAGCCATATGGCAGGAAGAGCCCAGGGTCCCCATGCCTTTTCCACCGGCCTGCCTGTGAAAACCCAACTTCCTTACACTGACCCCACCTTCTAAAGAGTCCGCCAACTTCCAATAGCAACACAGGCTGGGAACTAAACTTTCAATCCATGAACCTTTGCGTGACATTTAAAATCCAAACTGTAGAAGCCGACTAACACACTCTCCATTGGATCATGCAGGAACTAGCAGGTTTGAAGGTTAACTTTCCAAGACCGATTTATAAATGTGACTTTATATAATGCTTGCACTCTAGCTCAGTGGATGATGACAATACCACATCTGATGCTGCCCTGCTGGATCTATGCCTGTAGACGGTTCATCCAGAAGCAGGACAGGCGAATCTCCCAGGATGCTCAGCACAAAACACAGCTGGAAAGTGCAAAAACACCCTTTTACTTCTGTATCACGTCAGCCCTCAGAGCAGAATCAAAAGCCATACATACCTTCCTGGTGGTTCCCGCCGCTAACCTCCCCACTGGAACATTCAGATGTTCATGCAATTTGAAAGCATTCATTAATCTGACAGAAACGGGATGAGAACATCAGGTCAAGAGAGATGTTTTGGAAAACTCAGGCACACAGAACTGTAACAGTGAAAAGGCTAGCCTGGTGGTGTTACTTGCAAAGCTCCAAATCACAATACTTTTATTGGAGCACGACATATTCTTCACTTCACAAAAAATGTTTTTAAAAGACAACTAGAATTCTAAATGAGCAAGTGAAAATGGATGGCCATTCCCTTCCCAGCTTTTTGTTGGAAACCTGCAATGGTGGCAGCTTGTGATTATTCATTTGCTTATTCCTTATTAATTATTTTATGTAGTCATTTTTTTAAAAGCTCCCTCATTCAGGATACAGGAAGCCGGGTCTTGTTCCCCATCCTTCCTCTACCAATACTCTGAAAAAGTGAAACTGCCTTTCCTCCCTGGATTCTTTTTTATTTTTATTTTTATTTTTGGTTTTTTTCTGGTACTGGGAATCGAACTCACAACCTTGCACTTGCCAGGCAGGCGCTGTGCCGCTGAGCTAAATCCCCAGCCCCTCCCTGGATTCTTTATTAGGGAGCTCATCCTCAGTGGTACAGCCTCCCCTGCCTCCTGACACAAAGGAATCGCAGGACTTCTCCCTACCGTGAAATAATAATGGCAGCGTCTCCCTTCCTCAGCCCTTTCACAGTGGCATACGTTTCCAGGTGTTCTTTCACCGTCAGCCTGGGCCACAGCACGTTCTCCTGAGGACAGTATCCCAGGAACTTGAGCTCTCCCTCTTCACCCAAAACTGAACCGCATCCTTGGAGTTCCACCTACAAAAGTAAAATGGCTTTAGAAACACGAGTAGCCTTTTCTCCAAAGGTAAAATTGACACAGAACACTGACACACAGCTATGAAAGCCTAACATGTTAGAGAATCAAAGAAGTCTCACGTACATTGCTTCATATTAATGATAAGACACAATGTAATCGATTAACATAAAATTATAGTCCTACATGTGAGGGAAGACAAAAACCTGATGAGCTTCGGTGCTTCCTGAGAAGCTGTATGAGGAAAAGGTCCTGGGCTGCTGGTCACATTCCAACTCCTGTTACACAGGAGTAATAAAAGAAAAACCTAATTTTAACCAAAGATAAGAGTATAGTTTGATATAGCCTATATTTATCATGAAATTTCTAGTTTGAGAACGCAAACCATTTCTTTGTTTTTCAATACCTCTCCAGCCGTTGGCTTTGTGATCCCGGCTATCATCCTAATAGAGGAACTTTTACCAGCACCGTTGGGTCCTAACAATCCAAAAATTTCACCTGAAAGAGAAGCATCAGATTAGTAATATTGGAAGTGAAATACTGACTTACATTAACCTATTTCTTCACTGAAATCTTTAGAAATCTGGGTACCCCTCAGTCAGTGACATTTAAAAATTAATAATGTATATGTAATCCATGTCGTGAAAATATCATTTAATTGTAATTATACAAACTATTATCAAAAAGTTCATGTATTTTATGTTATTGCAGCTGTCTTTTTTCTTCAAACTTCTTGTTGCAGTTTCAAATGTACCCAAATTGTTTTCTATAATACATGGCTGATGTGCAGATAAATGATAAATGAATCCTAAAACTAGGAAATTGGGGGTACTTCCTCCATCCCAAATTCAACTGCCTGGGTCTAAACTGCCATGGCCCTTTATGTGAACTGATATAAACTGCCTCCCCCCGCAAATTCATAAGCACCCAGTATGTAATCTCAAAATATTAAAAAATGAATCAAACCTGCTAAAAACCCTCCAAAGACATTCCACTAAGTTGACGTAAACATGAACTTTTTGTATATGTGCTGCCGAAGCGAGCACTATATGTGCTGCTGAAGCAAGCACAACATGAGCTTTTTGTTGTTTTAAAATGCCGTTCCTAGCTGGGCAGGGTAGTGCATGCCTGTAATCTCAGCACTACGGGAGGTTGAGGCAGGAGAATTACAAGTTTATGATTAGTCTAGGCAATTTAGCAACTTAGCAAGATCTTATCCCAAATTAGAAAGCACTGGGTATGCAGCTCAGAACAAAGGCCCTGGATTCAATACCCAGTACTAGAAAAAGTTACAAATATTCCTAATGTAGTCCCATATGAGACACAACCATTTCAGATATGTTGCTATGCCCGAATCCCTGTCCTTGCTGTTTCTGTTACTTTGGTTTTTGTTTTTGTTTTTTCCGGTACTGGGAATTGAACTCATGACCTTGTGCTTGCCAGGCAGGCACTGTGCCACTGAGCTAAATCCCCAGGCCCTGTTTCTGCTACTTTGAAGCTGCCCTTATCTCTTAATGCTCACATAGTTAGCACTTTAATGTCATATAGATCTTGGCTGAAATGTCGCTGTTCAAGGAAAGCCTTCCTTGACTCTAACCACTTACGTCATTTCACATATTTCAGTGTTCTACATAAAGCTCATTTAATACCTGATATCATACAGTTTTATTTACAGAGCCCCTCCTTGTGTATAAAATCCATAAGGGAAAAATTTTGCTTATTTCCTTCATAATTGTTTTCCGGACACTACGACAGTCCCAGACACACTGACAAAATATGTTAGATGAGTGAGGGGAATAAATGCTTCAGCAAAGAAAATGTTGCCCATGACATAGATTTTTCACTGGGTATTTCTAAATATGATGACCAATTTAAAAAGTGATGGCTCCAAACCTTTCTTAATAGAGAAAGAGATATTTCTTGTTGCTAATTTCTTCTTCCTTTTTGAAAAGCAATTTTTCTTCTGGCCTGCATATTCTTTGTGTAGACAGTTGGCAATTATGGTTGGTTTCTAGAAGAGATGACAGCATGATTTCCCTCTTAAATTTCTGAGACTTTATGTTCCTACGTTCTCCCTACTGGAACCCTTCACGACCTATGTCGTAAAACGAACCGTACATCGAGATAGGGGTAGTCCGCGCTGTTTGTTGCAAATACCATGTATGCTCCTTAGCACAGACAGCACTTCTTGTTTCTAAATAGACTGAAAAAACTGCACAGTTTTCATGGAAACTAGTTCATACCTGGGGCTGTGGAAACATCGCTACATCTGAGTCAAATAAATGAATAATTCTTAAAAATCTTAATCTCTATGTAGCATGCTATCACAAATCTCACTTACATTGTTTAAATCCTGAAGTCTTACTTTTTAAGCTACGGCACTAATAAGGCTCCTTTTGTCAAAAGTAGAAAGTAAACGTTATGTTTTTTATTCTTTTAGGTCCCAGGACACTCCGAATAAATGCCTGCCTGCTTAAAGATTAAAAGCTTTCAAAATGCAAACGAGAATGTCAAACTCTCTTTTGGACAGTCTGGGATATTTCCAGTCACATCTGTCGTATCGCTTGCTTTTCTACCTCATGGAAGTTTGAAGTGGTCAAAGCAGTCGACGTTCTTATTCTCTCTGCTTGAACGTCTTCATCTTCACCTCCGGGTTCTTCTGGATTTGGTCTAGTATCTGGACTTCGGGGAGAAATTCTGTGGAGAAATGAATTCAGCTTGTTTTCTAATTGTCAAAAACCTAACAAGAGTCAGCATCCCTGCGATTTTACCGTTGTCCTTTCTGCCAATAGACAGGTGGTGATTATGATTCTGCTCATGTGCTTCTGCTTTTGCTGAGAATCCGCACCTCATTACCCAGAATGCCATTCCTGGTGTTGCTGCCGTTATCCCAGGAAACATCTCTGCCTCTTTCAAACTGAGCAGCAAACACTGTCCTTCCTCTTTTTTTTTTTTTTTTTTTTTTTTTTTTTTTTTTTTTTTTTATTTTAAGGATAAAAGGAGGGAAACATTAACAGACATACAACATTTTACAACATATCACAAGCACAATACAGACAATACAGAGTTCCAAACAAAGTGGTAGGGAATTAACAATGGTGGTTGTATTACATATTGATATCTTCAAAGTGGCTTCTCATGAAAACAGATATAGACATGCAATACTGGTCAACCAAAGACTCATTGACAGTTTCTTTCAGCATAGAAACAGCAGATAGAACAACCATGTTATCTATCCTGTATATACATACATACAAAATTTCTCCTTCTTTCCCTTCCTTCCTCTTGAAAACTAAAGTCCCTCTTGGTTCCTTTACTCACTCTGAGGTCACCTTAATCACATCAGACATTTGTTTCAATATCTTTTCTGAGGACTCTTTTCCAGAGTTCCTCTACTGGCAAAACACTCCGAACTATGTCTGTAAATCAACTCCATTCTCTATCTTCTATGTAGGGATGTATACTATCTTGGATGAAATAATGGCATATTTATGTACTCATTGCAATTTTTGAGAAACTAAAGTCTCTCTCAGCTGCTAAGTAGACAAACTCTCCATAACAATCCTATTTTTTGTCACTGAGCCAGAAATCTGATAATTCACTGTTAAAGCAAGGACTTCCCTGATTCTAACCTCTTACATCATTTTACATATTCCAGTATTCCACATAAAACTCATTTAATACCTGATATCACATATTTTTATTTACAGAGCCCCTCCTTGTATATAAAATTCATTGTACAAATAAACCCATTATAAAAAAAACAAAACAAAACAAATAAACCCATTAAAAATGCGTTGTAAAAATAAATCCATATTAACAAGCTGACTATATAGCTACTACCTAGGGGTATTCAAATATGATACTACATATGAAATTAAATTTATCCCAACCTGAAAAAAGGATCCTTTCGTGTCACTTTCTTTCCAAATTTTAGTTCCATGCATCTTAGAACAAAAATGAATAGCAAAGCTTGAAAGTAAGGCTAGGAATAAAGAAAAAGTTTTAGTTAGAAGTTTACAAACATAAGTTAAATATTTTGAGGAAAATTGGTGATGTTTTGTCTTCAGGGTAATGTAGTCATAATTTCCTATGGGTTAAGGATCAAATCTAGCTGTACAGTCCTACTACACTTAGTTAAATCTGTCTTCTTCCTTGCGCTCATAACCCATATTTAACCTGTCAGTAAATGTTATCTGCTCCATCTTCAAAATTACCTAAGACTCAATTACTCCTCACTACACTATATCACTCCACCCAAGTCGAGATCATTATTATTTATCACCTGGATTACTGCAGTACTTCCCCACCTGCTCTTCTTCTGTCCCTCTTACCCTATAAATGTATCTTCATCACAGTAACCAGACATATTCTTTCAGCATAGAAAGTCTGGTCCTGTCACTCTGCTTAAAACCTTCCAGTGGCTCCTCCATTCCTCAAAGTAGTGTCGAGGTCCTTAAAATGGCCTAGAATACATGGTATAGCCACTAGAGGCTTTTAAACAGAGCAACATGACCAGACTTCTATGTTGAAAGGCAAACCCACAGATGACCTCATTAGTTCTATAACCATCTCTCTTTCTACTCTTCCTCTTGCCCACTGTGTGAAAATCACTCTGACCTCCTGGACAAGCCTGGAACATGCCAGGATCATTACTGCCACCTCCTCCTGAACAGTTCTTCCCTAAGCCTTCCTGACCACCCATCTTACACAGCCTCCTGAGTGCTAAAATTATAGGCATGGACCATTATCTGGATTTTAAAAGCTTTCTCCAACTCAGGGGGAGATAGTAAACAAAGTACACAAAGAAAAATTAATTTTGTACTGAATTCTGGACTTATACATTCTATTTCTACTTATAAAAAGTCTTTAAGATTTAAAAGCATGTCTGATGTCATATTGAAAGCATTTGCAGATTTGGAACACCTTAAACAAGATAAAACCACGGTCATAAATGATAACCATCCAAAAGAATATATAGTAAGACAGAAAGTCCTCTTACTATTAAGCATACTAGAAGATCAGCTCCACTCAGGTCAAAATTTATTTCTGTAGTTTCTATGTAGTGCTCCTGGGCTCTCTAAAAACACCAACCAAAAAAAAAAAAAAAGCTAAATGAAAATTAATCACTTCATCATTTACATACAGTTATATTAAATTTCCCATAGGAACTATTTCCCTGGCTAAGCACAATTTCTTTGTGTACGGTTGTGCCAAATGCTCTACAAAGGAGGGAAGCCTCTCACTCAATTCTTACTATTTCTCAATGAGCAAGCAATGCATATCTGTTGTTTTCTTCTATTTTTTAAAACGTATCTTGTTTTAAAACAAAAGCCATCGATGAAAGCATAGCAGAGAGAGATGCTGTCATTTGGAAAACTTTTGTGTGTGAAAATACTTGTCCTGTGTTCCATACAAGCCTGTTCACAGGGAGCCTTTAAACATCACCTTCCCAGGACTTTGGCTCCCTGCAGTGCAGCCTTCTTACTCCTATGATGACTGTTTTCCATTATAAGTAGTTCTATCATCTTATTCTCTCTTCATCAACTCAATCAAAAAGTCACTCATTCCTCCTAAATTATATGTACAATTTGAAATTAATTTGTTCAATCTGTACAAGTCTACTTATATTTTAGAGGGCAAACGCTTTAATCAAAGAGATGTTTATAATCAAGATTTCCAGTCATTGCTCAACCAGTGGAAAAATATTTTTACAGACAGAAGACTTTCCCAGTTCTCCAAGAACACAAGTAATGAAGCCCTCCTTACTCTCTTTTACACTTCTACAGAGTGTATTCTTGACTGAGCAGTTCTGCCTTGGCCTCTTGGAACATTTCTCTCGGCTTAAATCATGCTCTGCTGCTTCAATGCTGAAAGGTCTTTCCTGCTTCAGTGCCTTTGCTTCCCCTCCGCTGATCCTGCTTTCTTCCTGTCTCACTCTGCCACTAATTCATTCTGACGCATCCTTCAGGAATGCATTTAAACATCACCTTCCCAGGACTCTGGCTCCCTGCAGTGCAAGTTACTGTGCTTTGTATGTTGTCCCTTAGCACTTTGCCCTCTTTGCCTTGCAATGTAACCTTAGATTTTGTTTTGTGTTTGTGCTTTCTCAATACTGAGGATTTAACCCAGAACCTTCCTGCTAAGCTATATCCTCAGACTTTTTTTAATTTTTTTTTTTGTTGTTGAGACTGGCTGTACCTTGGGCTCTAAGTTGTCCAGACTGAACTGGAGCTTCTGATCTTCCTACCTCACCTTCCAGGACTGCTGCATCACACTCTACTTTTTGTAACCTTTAAGCTTATGGTATTAGCTTGCTTTAAGTTGACCTTCATCTCCTTTGAGTTCTATGAAAGAAAGTACTATGCTGTCTTTGGGTATTCCTACCAACTATTACAGTGCCTAACACAGAACAGTGTTTGATGTATGTTTTTGAATAAATGAATGGCATTGTACATGAGTTTATACTTCCAGTGGATAATGAATACTGACTGAGCTAAAAAAACTCTATCAATCTCAATTACTGTTAAATGCTATTCAAAACTCTCAATTACTGTTAAATACTATTCAAAACTCTCAATTACTGTTAAATGCTATTCAAAACTCTCTCAATCTCAATTACTGTTAAATGCTATTCAAATCAATAGATTTAACAGTAATTAACAGTAATTTAACAGTAACTATATTTTGCAGAGTGCATAACGCAAAGCTTTTTTTATTTTAAAAATTAAAAAACTAACAAAACAACAATGAAGATGAAATCAAAACAAAACAAAAACAACAAAAACGATACATGACCTCAAAACAAAATGATAGGAATTAACAATGGTTGCTACATGACATACTGTTAACTTCAACGAAGTTGCTCAGTCCACCAGACATAAGACTGATCAAACAATCAAAGACAGTAACAAGTCATAAAAAAAAAACAGCATTGGAAATGATCTTCTTAATAGCTTTCCTGAGCTACATTTTTCATTCCATAGGATGTTGTTTAGGTATATACAGCTGTGCAAGCGTCACTGCAATTCAATTTTAGAACATTTTAATCATTGCAAAGGAATCATCACTATCTACATAGGCCTCACTGAAGCACTTCAATAGGCTACATTCTTAATATAAATAACACGGTTGTTGATCTTACCTTTGACAAAAAGACTATAAATGCACCCAAGGTAGATAAAGGAATGAATACCATGCTAGAAATTATTACAGCTAGCAGGAAGTAATCAAATAGCAAGAGGAACACCATGTTCAAGACCTACAAGACAAGTCCAAATATTTTGCATCAGACATACTCAGCTCATTGATAAGTGAGAAAACATTTAAGATGTAGGTATCTTATCATGCATATCACAATATTCCCACATGCAGATCTACGTTCATGACCATCACAATTTCCCCTTTCAGAAGGGAAAGGAGAAGAGCTTTTGTTAACACGAGTATTCATGATCTTTAGTTTCCAGACAGAAAATTCCTTTACTAAAAAAAATTTCATATGTATTAGCTGTACAGATTAATGTATTTATTGTGACTTCAACCTCTCCTTTTCATCTTCCTCCACGCTGAGTATTGAACCCAGGGTCTCACACACGCTGAGCTACAGTGTGATATTTAATACATGCGTGCAGAAGCAATAGACATTTCCCTCTCCCTATCATTTATGTTGGAGCTTTTGAACTCTTTCCTGGATTTTCATAAAATTACACTAGATTATTGTGAACAATAGCCATCCTACTGTGCTATGGAGCACCAGAAATTATTTTTTTCTATCAGTGTTTTAGCACCCGTACCTCATCTTCTTTTATATTACCTCCCTCCCTAAGTGCCCTTCCTGACCTTTCATAATGACTCTCCTTCATTCAGATCAATTTTTGTAAGCTTTCACGTATAAGAGAGACCATATGATGTCTGTACTTCTGGGTCTGGCTTATTTCACTCAACACAATGCTCTATAGTTCCTTCCAGCTTGCTGTAAATGATAGGATTTTATTCTTCTTATGGTTGAATAATATTATTCTGTGTATATACATCACATTTTCTCTATGCACTTTTGATGGGCACTTAAGTTGATTCAATATTTTTAGCTGTAAATAAAAAGGAACCATAATTCTACACTGCCAGTTATTTATGATAGAAGAATAATTAGGCGAATGTGGATTTGAAACGGCACTTGATGGGGCATCTCCAGCATCATGAAGGCTGGTTAGTAACATAATTGTCAACAGCCATGTTGGCCAACTGCCCTGGTAGTGCTTCACCATCAGTGCCAAGAAAGATTTCATTCAGAGGTGAAAGTACTGAAAACACAAATAGGCATGAATCCTTTGTTCGCCTTTGATAGCCATTTGAAGAGTAGCAGTAAGGCCACGCAAAATGACATCTGTTCAGCAGATCCAATATCTCCGATGATCGTGGCCAATGGCAGTAAGCCTACTGATTGAACAGGAAAGTCCCCATGGAGGATATCGATCAAAAGACCTTTGGTGCAAAAATCCTCAAGACTACCCTCAAAGCAGTCTTCCAAGGGAGGTAATGCTGTAGTTCTTTCTTTTTTTATTTTAAAGACAGCAAAAAATAATTTTAAAAAACATTAGAAACTATGCAGAATTTCAAAGACAAGAGGATATGAATTCAACAATGGTTGCTATATTGCATATTGTTGTCTTCAAAGTAGTTCTTCAGATTGCCAGATATAGGCATGCAAAAGGCTTTGGTGTGTTGATGATTGTAAAAGAGATAGCAATAGATACTATTTTTTGAATACAAAGAACTGCAACTCAGAGAAGTCAAATCACAGTATCTTCCAATGAGGAGGAATAATAGCGACCTGCTGGGCAGCAGTGTCTAAGGCTAATTTTCCTACACAAGTGATATGGTGGTGACTGTATTTTCTTACAGACGGTCTTGGGTTGGATTTCTCTCACGGTTTCAGTACTCCCATGCCAAAAGTTACAAAATGTTTCCTAGGTAGACATTCATCCGCAACTCAGGATATCAGATTAAAGATAGAGGGGCTGGGGATTTAGCTCAGCAGCACAGCACCTGCCTGGCAAGTGCAAGGCAGTGAGTTCGATTCCCGGTACCGAAAAAAGCAAAAACAAAAACCAAAAACAACCAAAAAGGAAACAGATTAAAGATAGACTGGAATGCAGAACCCCACGAACTCTGGGTCTCCAGTGTTTTAGTAAATGTTTCTAGCAAAGCACTCCACAATCTTGGAGAAGCTCTTTGCTTCCATACATACTTGCTAGTAAGTTCTCTGACACAGTTAGAAAGCATCTTTGATATAAGAAACTAGCAGTTTAGTTTGAGACACCTGTTAGAGAAAAGGAAGAGATTATACTTTCAACTCTTACAAAGCTAATTTTCATTCTAGTGTTACCATGAAGCCCTACACTCTAAAGAATCCATAAATTCAACAGTGCATTTTTTTGTTTGTTTGCTTGGTTTTTTTGAGACAAGGACTTGCTTTATAATGTAGGCTGGCCTTGAACTCATTACGTAGCCTATGCTGGCCTCAAACTCTGGTTATCCTCCTGCCTCAGCCTCCTGAGTGCTGGGATTACAGCTTTGTGCCACTATGCCCTGTTCAATAGTACATTTTTAATTTCAAGTCTTCTAAGAAGTTCTCCACTAACTCTGTTCAAAGATTTGTGCCTGAATTATTCAGGAATGTCATTGACTTGGTAACATGAATTACATTTTCCTCTTTTGTTTTGATAGTGTGATTTTAAAATAAGGGTTAGAATATCCCTTATCAAAAATGCTTGTGTCCAGAAAGGTTGTGGATTTCAGGTCTGTCTGTAGTTTAGAATATTTGCATGTATTTAATGAGATACTTTGGGGTGGGATACAATTCTAAACAGAAAAATTGCTTTTACATTTTATACATACTTTGTCTAAATAATTTGAAATTCTCCCTTGAGAATGTGGAATAAATTGTGTTGTACATCCTGAATTTTGACTGCAACCCATCACATAAGGTTAGGTATGGAATATTCTCCATGTAGTATCATCTCAGCTTTCAAAAATTTTTGGATTTGGAGCATTTTGGATTTTCTGTATTAACAGTTTTTCTTACTGCTCAGAGTAAATGTGACTATACTTAACATTACACTGAAAGTTTAAAAATAGTTATCCATTATATGTATCTATTTGTGTGTGTGTATAAATACTTACAATATAGAAGCAGAATGACCAGAGGCCACTACTTTTTCTCCTCTTGCGAAAAATAAATGATATCACATATGTCAAGAAAGTAAGGGAAACTGCATAACCAAATGAAGTAGCAACCTGAAGATAATACGAATAGTATCATAGTCAAAAAATGAAATATTATCAGAGGAAAATACTTTTAAATTTCATTGTACATGCCCTTTGCATGGATTGTTTGCAAGTGAAATCATATTTATGATGTGAAATAGCAATGGTACATTTTATTATTAAGTACAAAATGTGGTTTCTGTCGTTTACTTTCTGTGGTTTACTTACCAGAGCAAATATAATTCGGCTTGTAATATAAATGCCTCTCATGTTTGTAAGGCAAACAATTAAGTACATCAAGAGGAGAATTAAATTAAAGAGGCTAATGTCCACCACTGCGTGTCCAAACCAGTAAGCAGAAGGGTAGAGGCCTGAAATCCACAGCTGAGACTTAGCCTTCTTCTGATAAGAAAACACAGGGTATACGCCGATTCAATTAAAATGCAAATCCAAAACAAACACATTAGTAGAATTTTCATGAAAAGTATAATCTAATATTCTATTATTTATATAGATTTAAACAGATCCACTCCACTTTTCAAATGTGCATTATTTCATTTGGTATATTTTACCCACAGTGCCACCTTAACTCATGAATAATGAATAGAAAAATGGACACAACAATGATCAATGCATAAAGTTCCTTCAAAGTAAATAGTGTCTTGTGAACTGAAAGACTTATAGATTTTTCTTTTGTCTGTTATCTCCTCAGAGAGTTATTGGCTCAGGATGGTGCAAGCAGATTTATCTGAACCTGGTCTATCTGGATAATGAGTATAATCAAACAAAAATGCAATAGAATATTGCAATTTCCAGAGTACCAGACCTAACCCACGGCTTAGATTTCATCTTCAGTGTCGACCTCAGTGATTTCCTCCTTGCAGTTAGGAAGCAATGTAGTTGAAACTTTGTATTTTCCTTTGAGTTCTGAGAAGTCATTTGACTGTTTCTGTAACTTTCAACTGAAATGTGTTTTTGTACTTTTAAAAGTAAATTTTCTGACATTAGTAGGAAAGTGGATATGCTTTGAGATCATAATGATAAGTGAAATAAACCAGACACACAATTTTTTTGTTTGTTTGTTTGTTTTTGTTTTTTTTCTGGTACTGGAAATCGAACTCACGACCTTGCGCTTGCCAGGCAGGTGCTGTGCTGCTGAGCTAAATCCTCAGCCCCTAGACGCACAAACTTAAATATCATGTGGTTTCTCTTCCATGAGAAATCCAAACTATAAATAGAGAGCAAAATAAAAGAAAGACAATAGAAAGTAGGGAGACAGATTTTTCTCAAAACTGGAAAAGGGAGCAAGAGATGGAAGCAGCAGAAAATAGGAAAAGAGGGTGAAAAAAGGCAATTAAAGTATGTTGTGTGCATATGTCAACTCCACATGAGGAATGCCAACATCATGTACTGCATACATGTACTGATAAAAACTTAAAATTTAAGTAAAAGACATATGTGTACATGAATCAAAATAATGCTTAACTGTGTTATTTAAATTAAAAATATATTTAAGTGTTTTTCACAGGGGAAAACGTTTCTAACACATAGCATTAAAAATACAACTACTGAGATTCCTGAGGTCCCCGCTCCACCCTTTTCTTACTTTGTAATCACTGACACTGCTCATGGCGACGTAAGGAGAAATGCAGCATGCAACCACAAATATGAAAAAAACACCTTCTGGCAGCCCCGTCCAGATCCCAAAGTCCTGCAAATATAAAAGGTACTTTCAGCTAGTGAATATTTTAAATGAAATACTAAAAATTATAAGGAACGTGCTTTTGGAGTATCAAAAACTCAAAGTATATATAGCTCAACAACATCTAAAAGACAGATAATGATTTCTTATTTAACATAAGGCTTCAACTCAAAGAGCAAGAAAAGTCAAAAACAATGCAGAACTACTTCTGGGTATATATCAAAAGATCTGAAAGCATAGGTATTTTTGGTTTGGTTTGATTTGGTTTGGTTTGGTTTGGTTTGGTTTGGTTTGGTTTGGTTTGAGACAAGGTCCCACTATGTAGTTCAGGCTGGCCTTGAACTCATTATATTGCCCAGGCTGGCCTGGAATTTGCAGTGATTCTCCTGCTTCACTCTCCCCAGTGCTAGGATTACAGGTGTGTGCCACCATGCCGAGTTTGAAAGCATATTTTTGAAGAGTTATCTGCACATCTATGTTCACAGCATTATCACTCACAATACACAAGAGGTAGAAACAACACAGTGTTCATCAGTGGGTGTACAAATACACAAAATATGATCTATTGACATAAAATAAGATATCATTCAGTTTTTTCAAAGGAAAAAAATTCTATCACATGCTACAACACAAATGAACCTGGAGGATATTATGCTAAGGGCAATAAACTAGTCAAAAACAAAGATAAATATTATAAATATTTAATGGTTCCACTTATACATGATGCCTAAAGAGGTCAAATTTCTTTTTTTTTTTTTGCAATTCCAGGGATTGAACTCACGACCTTGCGCTTGCCAGGCAGGCGCTTATGCCACTGAGCTATATCCCCAGCCCAAGGTCAAATTTCTTGAAACAGAAAGTAGGTTTGTGGTTATCAGAAGGAAAATGAAAAGGAAAATAGAGTTATTTAGTACGTATAGCTTTACTTCTACAAGATGAACAAGTTCTGGAGACCTACCTCACAACAACGTAAATATACTTAATACTAATGAGTTCTATGCTGACAAAAGGGTTGTGATGGAACATTTTGCTGCGTTTTTACCACTATAAAAAATAATAACTCAGGAATTAGGACCTTTGATTAAGAGGTAATTCAGGCCCACATATCGTGTCTTTGACTGCAGATTAGAGATGGATATGGGGATGGTTAGATGTCCTCAGTAGCATAGAGCTAAAAAAAAAGAAACTTATTTCTCTTGAGCCCAATTGCAAGGAAATAAAATTTAAATCACTGTCCAATCAATGTCTACCTCAGGCTGGGTTCAAGCCCAAGCAGTGTACAGAATAAGCGTATGGATATAATTACAGGAAAGCAATACAAGCCTGTTTTGAAATAACTAAACTCTCAGATTTTATTTAAGAGTTTAAGGTCTATATAATTTTTCCTCTTGGTGGTAAAATGAATAATTATACCCATAAGAATGAAGGTGTGTGCCACTGCAATGGGTAGTGCCTAAGGGAGTGACCATGGAATCTTGGTCCATTTTGATCTTGAGTAAATAGACAATGATATGGGGAAACGAAATCCGAGAAGAAATAAAAGCTCTCTTTCTGTGACCTGCTGGTTCTGATTTCTGGAGAGTTCCCTTGAGTCACCACTATTTGAACCATCTTGTGTTCTCTCTGATCACATGGTCAGTCATATGTATATGACCACTCAAGTATATTTCACCATTTTCTCCACTATATGCAAAAAACCTGCATTTGCATGTACACCTGACACCAATAATACAATGAATCCGAAACTGAATCTGACACATACGTCACACAAAGGGATTCCCTTTTAACTCTCCATTGCTAGTCTTGCTTTTTGCTCTTCCAAAATCTGGTGTGTAACATTTGTAATCATCTTTGAGATGTCCCTCTTGGTACTGAAAGGGGACACTAAAATTTTTTTTAAAAAGAAAAAGCCTGCCCGGATGCCCACCAAGACCAAGCAGACATGTTGGGCAGGGCTGATAACAGAACTCTCCTTCCTTTGTGTAAGCCTCTGTCTCTGCTGTCTTTGTGTAACTGGTGGCCTTGCAATGTAACTTGAGACATTTAAACTCCCTTAGCAATCCCTGATGTCACCCAACCCTCCAATCACAATGTGCTAAATCTGTCTTTGTATCTCCCTGCTTGCCCTCCCTATAAAAGTTCCCCAAACCTACCAGGTGGCACTGACTTTTTGGGTGAGATCCCAGTCAAGCCCACCAGCATAATTAACTGCCTCCTAAACCTCCTCAGTGCCATTTCTTCTCATGTTTGGTCTGTTTTCTGTAACAGCATCAACTAGAAAATGAGGTCACTCATAAACTTAAAATCAGAATAAAGAAACAGATACGTGGGTGACGATCATGCAACAATCATGATGAACGTGGAAGGCACTATCATGTATCTGAGCTAGAAGGACAAAGGAAGGTGAGATATGACTGGAACCCAATGTGGAGGGTCCCTTTGCTCTTCTGTTTTGCACAATCATTTCCTATTGTCTAAACTGTAGAACACTGGATTATAACCAGAATCCTGAAAACTCAGCCTGTATCAGAAGTACTATTATAGGTAGGTAATGCACGAATCAGGTAGCAAACAGCAAATTTCAATCTCCTACCCATTCAGTCAGTGATGCATGCACACACACACACAAACACACACATACACACTTTCACAATCAGACATATATCTACAACTTCTCAGAATATCCCTTAGAAGAATATGACACAACATTGAAAACTATTAGCCCACAAAGATTCTCTTATTATAACTACAAGCAAAAAAAATCTTATCACCTGTTTAAAGTGTCAAGACACAATAGTAAGATTTTAGGATTAACAATCAACTATGAATATCCAAAACCTGATCAAAATCAGTAAGTTTAATACTTGCCAAAACAAATGGACTTCTTAGAGTTCGAATGCATTGTGTTTGATTAAACATTCGAAGTAGCCCATTGCTGACAATATTCATAAGGATGGGATAACAGTGCAGCTTCTTGGTGTTGCACACAACTGAAAATCTATAATCCTGCAAACAAACAAAGACATATAAGTGAGGTTAATTCTAGATCTTGGAAATTCAAAAGTAACATTTTCATACATAAGATCCTAACAGTGCCTCATTTTGGCTGTGTGTCCCTCTTCAAGTTAACTACATTTTCTGAGCTTCAGTTGAATCTTCTGTGAAAGGGAATACCAAACTGGTTGCCCCACGGTGTTAATGAGATTATGTATGTTATGCCTTAGTCAAGTTGACATGACAGAGTCAGCCTCCACTTATGACAAATTAGAATTAGTATTACTAATTTTATATAATTTTGTCCCGCTGGTGAATAAGCAAAGGAATGTTGATCTTCTGGATAGAGGATAGTTAGCAATTGAATAGGACTCCTTAAATTCATAGTTACATTTATAAGCTGTAATATTTTATTGAAATCAAATACAATTAAATTTGTTTCTTTCAAATTTACAAAATTATCTAATTAGATAATTTGGAAAAATGTTTCACAAGAACCTACTTAAACTTCAGTCTATTCAATATGGCCTCAGAATGTTTCTCTGAATTAAGTTGCTATATACTAGCTAGGTTGACTTTTTGCAGTTTTGAAACCAATTAAAATGTAACAATATCTTATTCTGTTCTTTGTGTTGGGGGGAGTCATATAATGAAAAACTGAGACACAAACCTACCTTTTGTTTACCAGAAACTATGATAGCTCCATTGTATGAGAGGCTTTCGGTGCCATTTCTGTTTTTGAAGTCATCTACTTCCAGAAGTATATTTTGATGCTTCAGTGACTGTATAAAGTCTTCAATATCTGATTCTAGTATGAAGTCAGTAACAGAAGACCATATAAAAACAAGAACATACATACCACATTTTCTAATGAGCCCATACATAATTTTAAATTGATATTTATAGTACATTAATGTTTCTATTGACGTCACAATAATAATAGTAGCCCATCAAGGAAAAATCACCTACTCTACCATCTTCTATTCTGCAAATGTTATGGTCTGATGACTTACATTTATAATTCTGATTAATTCAAGCTAACATGTGATCATTGAAACAAGGTACTTCTATTTTATGATTTTCATTTAAGAAATACATTTAAGCTGATAATTTATAGAAATACAATAGGGTCTGGGGATTTAGCTCAGCGGCAAAGCGCCTGCCTGGCAAGTGCAAGGTCGTGAGTTCGGTTCCCGGTACCGGAGAAAAACCAAAAAAAATAAAATAAAATAAAATAAAATACAGAAATACAATAATTATATGAGGAGTACTTCAGATTTTTAAGCCTGATAATATTCTCCTCCCTCGCTTATTCTCTGAGATAATGGAAAAATAAATAGATACGTATGTATGTATAATACACCAATACATTTTACATACCTGCATACATATTTCATACCTATATATTTCATAAATATATTTTCCTTAGGAAATAGGAAAAGAAAATGATGCTGTCATCAAACCAAAATTTTTTATGTATCTCTAAAGAAGATCCCAAAACTCAGAGCAGATTAATGTAAGGGAGCAAAGTGAAGCTCTGAAGCCACAGTCAGAGTCTGTACCCAGTTATCTACACCTGGAGCAAGTTGAACAGTCAGGTCTTCCCCATACATCACTCACAGGAGACAACAGCTGCACCTGTTCCCTGGATAAAAGTCTTCTCACTATTTTCTAAGAGGCACTATCTGAAGAAAACAGGAGGCCCAAAGCTGAAATAACTCCAGATAACAATGAGGGGAAAATGAAATGGAAAAAGGTAAAAATAAAAAAATCTCTTTCTCTTTTACAGAGAGCTTTTGAAATGAGAGTTCATTCTAGGAATGCACAAGACAGGCTCTGGAGTTGGACAAATAGGACTACAGTGATCCCTCACCTATTGCAGGAGTTACGTTCCAGAGACCCCCACAGTAGGTGAAAATCTGTGAAGTAATGGCGCTATATTTACTTTATTATTTATAAATATTTTAAGGCTTTATAAACCCTTCCCACATTCTTATAAACCTTTCCCATTTTCTTATTAACCTTTCCCACTCTTACAAGCACTTCAGATGCTCTTATATACTTTCTACACTCTTAAACCTATGTAATTTTAACAACATATAAAATTCTATATGGATACTTGATGTGAACTGGACAAGGAGAGATGCTGAGCATATGGGCACAGTGCAGGAGAGCAAACCGACCTATGCTACAGTCACTGAGCCAATCAGCACCCAGGATACAGAACACAGTGTTGCAGTTGGCTGCCTTCCATTCCATCAGCCAATAGTGTGCATGTACAATCTCACAATGGCAAACTTGTGCAAGCAGTAGTGGCATACTGCATTTCCATTGTATACAGTATGGTATTCATCTGCTGATGAAATATATACTGTATTTTATTTCAATTTAGTAGTCTTTTAATATGTTTGAATTAACATGTCTTCTGGGCACTCCAGAAACTGCTAGGGGACCTGGGACTTGGTGGAACACCTCCTGCTGCCAGCATGGGGTAAGCCTGACAACCAGGGAATCTAGGGGCCCTGGAGACTCTGCAGTGAGCTGCCCAGGGAGAGTGAGGCCCAGCCCTTCATCTCCGACATCCACAATGACAAGTTGAAGGACCACAAGGCAATCTCAGAACTCCACCCCAACCAGAACAAGTCTAGGAGACAGCAACATTGGAGAACTTGGAACTCACACACCTAAAATCTCTGAAATGATTGCAACTGAAGTAAAGAAACAACTCCATAAGGCCAAAGAAGAAATCAGATCAGAAATTATCTCTCAGGTAAAAAATGAAATGACAATAATGAAAGAATTGCTCAGCACATCTAAAGAGGACATATATAAAAAATAGAGGAGCATAGAAAAATACTGGAAACATTAACTGAACAATACAGGAAAGAACTAAAATGCATGAAACAGATTCATACAGATATCCAGGAAATCAAAACTTCCATTGGAAGCTGGCAAAACTGCTTAAATGAAGCTGAAGATAGACTTTCAGATCTTGAAGACAGCATTGCAGCTAATGATTGTGAAAGGAAAGATCTCTTAAAAATTACAAGGAACCAGGAAATAATTCAACAGGTGCAAGACTATGCAAAGAGAAACAATGTAAGACTGATAGGCATCAGTGAAACAGCAGGAGTCAACACAAATGACATAAGACTATTTGCAAAAGTAATAGCAGAAAATTTCCCAAGTATGGAAAAAGAATTTTCCATACAGTAAGTGAGGCATATAGAACTCCAACAAGCCATAACTAAAATAAATCCTCACCCAGACATATAATAATCAAGATCCCAGAAATCCGGCAGAAGGATAGAATATTGAAAGCTGTTAGAGAAAAGAAACAGATCACCTATAAAGGAAAGCCTATCAGAATTATGGCAGATTTCTCAACAAAAACCATCAAATCAAGAAGAGCTTGCAGTGAAGTATTCCAGGTCCTGAAACAAAATAACTTCCAATCCAGACTATTGTATCCTGCAAAACTATCCTTCAAATTTAGTGGAGAAATAAAACACATCCATGACAAAGAACAACTGAAGAACTTCATGAACGCCAAACCAACCCTACAAAGAGTACTAAAAGATATCCTAGAAAGAGATAAAACAATAGAAAGGAACCACCTATCAGAGAAAGCAAATAAACAGAGAGTAAAAGTAGGAAACCAGAGCTGGGGATTTAGCTCAGTGGCACAGCATCTTCCTAGCAAGCGCAAGGTCATGTGTTTGATTCTTGGTACTGGAAAAAAAGAAAAAGTAGCCAACCAACAGCAAGTCAATAACAAGATAAAGACAAGCCAAAATATAACAGTTATAACTATTAATGTAAGTGGCCTCAATTCACCAATCAAAAGAAGCAGACTGGCAGAGTAGATTAAGAAACAAAATCCAACAAGATGCTATATACAAGAAACACACTTAACTCAAAAGGAAGTTCATAAACTGAAAGTCAAAGGTTGGAAGACAACTCTCCATGTGACAGGAACCCAGAAAAAAGCAGGGGTAGTTATTCTGATTGCAGACAATGTGAACTTCAAATCAAGAACAATCAAAAAAGATAAACAAGGTCACTATCTACTGTTTAGGGGAAAACTTTATGAGGAAGAGATACCAATCATAAATATGTATGCACCTAACATGGGGGCACCCAAATGTATAAGACGAACTTTAATAGGCATGAAAACCCAAATAACTAATAACACTATTGTAATGGGGGACCTTAACACCCCATTGACACAAAGAGATAGGTCAGCTGGACAAAAAATCAGAAAAGAAATAACAGATCTGAACCAAAGCTGTGAACAAATGGACTTAGTAGACGTTTACAGAGTGTTCTACCCCACAACATCAGAATACACATTATTCTCAGCTGCACATAGGACGTTCTCTAAAATAGACCACATACGAGCCCATAGAAAGTACTTAACTAAATGCAAAGGAATTGAAATTATCCCATGCATACTATCTGACCATAGTGAAATGAAATTGGAAATTAATGACAAGAAACACAAAAACTCCATAAACACATGGATGTTAAATAACAGCCTCCTGAATAACCAATGGGTCACAAATGAAATTAAAGAAGAAATTAAACAGTATCTACAAACAAATGAAAATGTAAATACAACTTACTGGAACCTGTGGGATGCACTGAAATCAATCCTCACAGGGGTTTATAGTGGTAAAGTCACACATGAGGAAAACAAAATGAGAACAAATAAATAGCCTAATGCTGCATCTCAAACTTTTAGAAAAAGAAGAACCAGTCAAGCCCAAAGCCCAAAGAAGGGAGGAAATTACAAAAATGAGGGTGGAAATTAATGCAATTGAGACAAAGAAAACCCTACAAAGAATGAATGAATCAAAGAGTTGGTTTTTCGAAAGAATATATAAAATTGATAAATCCCTAGCTAACCTAACCAAAAAAAGGAAAGAAAAAACTCAAATTCATGCAATAAGAAATGAAAAGGATGAAATCACTACAGATCTATAGAAATTCAGAAGATCATCAATACCTACTTTGAAAATCTTTTCTCCTATAGGATGGAAAATACAGAAGAAATGGACAGATTCCTAGATCAGTATGAATTACCAAAGTTGAATTAAAAAGAAATAAAAATCCTGAAAAACCCAATGTCAATTATTGAAATTGAAAATGTGATTAAAAACCTACAAAGAAAAGCCCAGGTCCTGATGGAGTCACAGCTGAATTATACAAGAAATTCAGAGAAGGCTTAATGCCAATTCTTCTCCAACTCTTCAATGAAATTGAAAAGGAAGCAATTCTCCCCAGCACATTTCTGGAGGCAAGTATTATACTGATAACAAAACTGGAGAAAGACCCAACCAAGAAAGAGAACTATAGATTAATCTCACTAATGAACATAGATGCAAAGATACTCAATAAAATATTAGCAAACAGAATGCAGCTAATCATCAAGAAGATTATACACCAGGACCAAGTGGGGATGCAGGGATTGTTCAATATATGCAAATCAATTAGTGTAATGTGCCATATGAATAGAGCCAAAGACAAAAACCACATGGTCATCTCAATAGATGCAGAAAAAGCTTTTGACAAAGTCCAGCATACATTCATGATAAAAACTCTACAGAAAATAGGGATAGATGATTTTTACCTCAATCTGATCAAAGCCATCTATGACAGACCAATAGCCAACATCATACTAAATGGACATAAACTGAAAACATTCACTTTAAAATCAGGAACAAGACAAGGATGCCCACTACTACCACTCCTATTCAACGTAGTTCTGGAAACATTAGCCAGAGCAATTAGACAAGAGAGAGATACAAAGGAAATAAGGATAGGAAAGGAAGAAGTGAAATTATCATCATTCGCAGATGACATGGTACTCTACACAGAAGGCCCCAAACACTCCTCCAAAAGACTCCTAGAATTAATGAACAAATTCAGTAGCATAGCTGGAAACAAAGTCAATACTCAAAAATTAATGGCATTCCTATACACAAGCAACAAGCATATTGAGAGAAAAATTAAGGAAAGCATAAATTTTACAATAGCAACCAAAAAACTGAAATACTTAGGAATCAATCCAACAAAAGAAGTGAAAGATCTTTACAGTGAAACCTACTGTAGTCTGAAAAAAGAGATGGAAGAACATTTCAGAAAATGGAAAGATATTCCTTGCTCATGGTTTGAAAGAACCAACATTGTGAAAATAGCCATACTCCCAAAATTATTGTACAGAGTCAATGCAATCCCTATTAAAATACCATTAGTATACCTCACAGATCTACCAAAAATATTCCTAAAATTCATCTGGAATCAGAAGAGATGCAGAATAGTAAAAGCAATCCTGGGCAATAAGGACAAGTCAGGCGGCATCACAATCCCTAACTTGAAATTATACTACAAGGCCACTGTGATAAAATCAGCATGGTATTGCCAGAAAAATGGACCTGAGGATCA